GGGGGCCGGGTGGTGTGTTCGGGGTCAGATAGGGGTTTTTCGGTCCTTTTGGGGTGTTTGGGGGGGGGTGTCAATGGGGGGTGATTTTTATTTTTTTTTCTGGTTTGAGTGTTCGGGCACGTAGGCACACGTGTCCGAGGCCCAACGCGCAAATTCCGTTTTTTGGAATTTGACGCGAAGCCTCCGTTTTTGCGTTAAACGAGATTTAACGGGGGTCCAGGGGCCCGTTAAATGGATGAACGGGCGTTGAATTTCGCCATTCTCCGTTAAAAAGATACACAACTCAAGTCGGGCATGATCGGGCGATGGGCAACGGTGTTGCAGAGCATGGACTTTGGCATTCGTCATCGGAAGCACGAGAGACACGGGAATGCGGACGGGCTGACACGACTGCACCGGCCTGAAAAAGTTTCAAAGAGTGAGGAGGTGATTCCGTGGAACGAACCCGAACAGGAGATCGGACCTCGGTACGGCCAAGTAGAGATCTTATCAAAGCAGTAAGCGACACGTGGACTAATTTGTCTGTTCTACACTCTCTGCAATACAGTCCCATCCCTTCCTCCTCTGTCATCATGACTACCCCACCTGCCTCCACAACCCCTTCATCCCGTACTAATTCTGCCCCTCTCACGTCCTCGGCTTTCTTTGCCACCGTCCCCGATAAATTCTGTTATTTTTGCACGTGCATTGCACGGGTTTATGGGGTCGACTCTCATCCTTTCGAAACCGGGTTTGTCAACTGGGTAGAATGTGCCATGTGTGTCAATCGTGCGCACGGGGCCTGCATTCGATATCGGACGAGTAGCAAGGAATAGAGGTGCCCCCTGTGTAGAACGAACAAACTCCCCACGGAGGTTCGTTTCGAGGCCGCCCATACGGACGTCTCTGAATACGTCGAAAAATACCGACGAGCGGAGGTTTGGACGGATAAAATTTTATTGGCGAATTTAGCGGGATTATCATTGGGTCACCTCACCAAACACGACAGACGTAGGAAGACCGAGAGATCTCGGCACTATCGATGGATCAACGGTCATTTGGAAAAGCGTAAAACTGACGGATCGGGTTCGTGGTTGACGGTTCCCCATCCATTCTAGAGATATGATTGGATCCGATCTGCTTATGAAGAACAGGCCGCTCATTTCGCGATACGTGTCACGGAGGCAACTGTAGACCAGATACGATGGTTCTGGTCCAATATACGAGATGATCTCAAATACATTGTCGCCAACTGTCTGGTCTGTGCTGCTGATCGCGCCCCAATACGGGCACCAAACACGATAGTACCAACGGTAGTAGAGCGTCCTTTCAAGCGAGTCAGTATGGATACGGCAGATATCGATGTGCCACCTGACCCAAACCGCTGTAAATATTCTATCCTTTTAGTATTAATTGACCATTTTTCCAAGTACATCGAAGTTTACCCCTGCAAGACCAGCAAAGCCGCAGAAATAGCCACGTACATCGATCGGTTCCTCTATACCCATCTAGCTCCGGAAGAAATTCTAACCGACAATGGGTTCGAATTTAAGGGAGAAGCAGAGGAACTGCTCGCACGAAGGGGCGTCACGTTCCGACATACGGCACCCCACGTGTCATAGTCGAACGGGTTGGCTGAGAATGCCAACCCTATGATTAAAACCGCCCTTCGTAGGAATTTAGCGGCACACGACACGCGTCCGTGGCCCGAGATCGTATATCAGATCATCGGGATCCACCGGGCCACCCGTCACGAGTCCACGGGGTTTACCCATTTTCAGCTTCGTACTAATAGCCTCCCCTGTGTCGACTATCGGGGTAACTCAAAAATTGCCGAACCAGGGGGTAGACACACGCGTATAGCCCTCAAGGCCAATGCCAAAAGGTACACTGAATTAATGGAGCGGGATGTTCCGAAGCTAGCCCGAAAAAGACAAAGGATGATCGATCTGGCCCACGGTAGGCAGGTCCGTAGCTACGAGGCTCGAAACAGAAATGCTGGGCCCCAACATCAATATAAATTAGGGGACCTAGTGCAGGTACGTAAATGTGCACGCGACCGGAAACTCGCTCCGAAGTTCTCCGGCTGCTTTCCCGTTGTCGAGCTCGGTCCTAACGGCGCCAACATGGTGCACATCGCGCCTTAGGCTAGTGCCAGCCATAGCTTTGTCCCCATCGTTCGACATACCTCCTACCTTCGTCTTCTTCCTCCTTCTAATCTTCCTCCCTCTTCTTCCTCGGAAAGCGAGGAGAACCACGACGATCTAACTCTCTCTCCGCTCTCTCCCTCCTGTGCTTCGTCCTCCTCTCCGACCTCGCCATGAGTTTCATCACGGAGCGGGCTCTTGACGAGCAGCTATTGCAGCCACGTGGCCACATCTCAGAGATTCGGCAAGTTTGTCACCCGCGGCTCAATACGGATCTTCGGCGTTTGGCGCAATTTTTCTGCGACGTGGGTGTGTGTGACGCCGCCGTGTTTCGAATCGAAGGGAGCCCTCACGCAGTAGTATTTGCGGAGGTAATCGCAGTTCATCGGCGAGCGGCTCCCTGAACGAGCCACGTCACCACGGTTGCGGCATTCAGCGGCGATATCAGCTCGGTCAATCCGCAGTGACATACCGCGATCTTGACTTCGCTGCGCGAGTGGATGGAGCAGGTGTCAAACAGACCAATGTGTGGCAGCACGTCCTCGCCCGACCTGGGTACAACCTCATCCCGATCTTTGCACCGGATCTTGGCGACATCCGCCATTCTCCGCGCGAGCGGCCAGTTGTGATCCCCACCCTCGTCCCCTTCCCACGTCCCCAATGAACCACGCCGATCCTCTCGCTCCTCTCTCTATCTTCGGTCTCCCCTCTCTTTTCCCCACCTCCTGTCAATCCGATCTTCATCCTTCTCTTGCCTTCTCGTTCGAGCCTCTTTCAGTCCCTCTTATCAATCTTGGGCATTGGCGGCTGTGGCGCAAAACTTTTGACGAGTTGTCCTTCTGCTTGGCCCGAGTACGGGTAACGTGGATGCGAACCAACGAGAATCCTGCGTGGATCGAGAGTGTGAAACTGCTGATCATACAGGCTTGGAGGACTAACGTGGAAGGCAATCTTCTTGGATTTCTCTTTGGATTGGTACAGTCGGGGCGCCGCTAGTTGATTGCGCAGGAGCTCATCGCGCCGATCGTGCAATTGGCGGACGATCTCTCGCCCGACATCTATTTGCAAAGCGACGACAGTCCTGCTCCATACGTTATGAAGCGGTCATTGAATCCGTACCTTCAGTGGACTGCATGCTTGGAGGAGCCCAGGGACGAAGATACGCTACTGTCGCGGCAGGAGTATCTCAAGCCTTACGATATCATCCCTCATGCCTTTTATCCGAAGGCTGAGGAAGTGGTGATCGACGACGACGAAGAGGACGACGACGAGGAAACATCAGAGGAGGGAAGCTATAGCGAATATAGCGAGGAGGAGCTAAGTGAAGAAGAAGAGGGAGAAGAAGGAACCGAGTCTGAGTAGGAAGCTTTGCCCGAGAAAGCGGCGCGCACGGGCACGGAGGCGGAAGATCAGGAAGCAGCGCGAAAGCGCGAAGAAATTGCCACCGGGAAACGCCATCAGGAGTTCGCCAGCGGAGCCAGCCTGCGCATCGATAACGATCCGACCAGAGATCCGAAGCCGCCAAAACCCGATGATGGCGACCCTGCAGCCGCCACCTCAAGTGCAG